AAGGTTCACGGGTTCAGCGTCAGAGGACTTAGGGCTTAGGGCTTGGGGCTTACGGCTTGGGGCTTACGGGGCTTATGGGGCTTAATTATAGGGCTGAGAGGGCTTAGGGGGCTTATGGGGATACATGGGCTTAGGGCTCATCATACCCCAGGCCCTCAACCTCCGTCATCCAGCGTTTTCTTGCAGGTTACAACCCGAAAGGCCCCATGAAGGGCTACCCTGATCCGAAGGCACCCGTTGGGTTTAGGGTTTAGGAGGGCGCTTCAGGTTTTCAGTCTTTCGGGGCTTTGGGTTTCAGGGACTTCGAGTTTGACTCGAAAAGTTTGGGGGTTTAGGGTTCCTGGGCTAGAACCTCGAGCACAGCACTTGGGGCTTCTAGGGATTAGGGAATGAAAGGACTTGGGGTTTAGGGTTTAGGGCTTGGGGGATTAGGGAATAAAAGGGCTTAGGGTTTTCGCATGTACCTCAGGACATCCTTAGCTAGGCTGAGGCGATTTGCCAGGATTGATGGTTGAACAGTACTGCAGGACTCAATACAATTCACAGACCGAATCCTCCTACCTTCCAGAAACCCCGGAAGCCTTAAGCCTGCCAGCCCTGTAGTCCCCAAAGCCCTTTGGTTTAGGATGTAGGGTTTAGGCTTTGTAGACACCCTCCACACAGACAAGCAAAGCGCAGGGCGGCAAGGGCAAGATGGGCGGCTGGCCCATGCAGGCTGCGCCGGGCAATGACCCCAAAGCCAAGCCACTGATAGGCTAGACGCCCCCTGAACCCTAAACCCTTGGGATGCTCAAAGCCTAAGCCACAACCAGAAAGTCACCCACCGCCTAAAGGCCTCGAATCTAGACATGGCTCGCGCAAGTCTTCAATTTGCGCAAGTCCCCGCTGGGTTATGATTCAATGTGTGGATGATGGCTCTGGCAAAGGGGGTAGGCAAAATTCTCGCTAGACACCAAGCCCTAAGCCCTAAACCAGAGCTACCAGAACTAACTTTTGAATGGGCTCCCTTTTGTAAGCCCTAGCTGTAGGGCATATTAAACCCTAAACCCTACACCCTAAACCCTAAACCCACATAAACCCTAAACCCTAAACCCTAAACCGTAATGGGGGGGCTGAAGGGTTCAGGGGGGCTTAGGTGCTTGGAGGTACATTTGTTTGGGTTCCTAGCTGACTCTGGGAGCCCTGGACTTCGCAACCCGAAAGCCTAAGGATTTAGGCTTTAGGCTTTGGGGTTTAGGGTTCAGGGTTTAGGGTTTAGGGCCTAGGGCTTAGGGTTGCTCAGGACGGCCCAAGCTTTGGGTGTGCCGAGAGTTTGTTTTGTCTCGGGTTTGGTGTGGGACCTGGGGACTCCTCCCATGCTTTTGTTGGATTTAGGGTTTCGGGTTCAGGGTTCAGGGTTTTAGGGTTTAGGGCTTAGGGTTTAGGGCTTAGGGTTTAGGGTTAGGGTTTAGCGTGTCAGTTGTGCTAGAGCGTAGGTTTTAGGGTGTAAGGTTTGCTAGGGTGTAGGTTGTAGGGTTTTAGGGTTTAGGGTATAAGGCGTGCTAGGCTTTCGGGCTTGGAGGCTTGAGCATCTCATCTTGCCTTCAGGATCCTAGACTCTCAAGCCTTAAACCTGTAAGCCCTCAGTTCCAAACCGAAGCCACAGCGGGTAGGGTTGGATGTCGGGGGTTTAGGAACCCTAAACCCTACACCCTTAATCCTAAACCCTAAACCCTAAACCCCAATCCTAAACCCTAAAGCCTAAACCCTTTCAACAAGGTCAAAGAGCGAGCTTGTAGAAGCTTGGTCCCCACGAATGTCTTGAAGCGTTCAGGGAGCCATTGCCAGACGAAACCTGCGGCCCCCAATAGCAAGCCATTGCCTTTAGTGTTTAGGGTTTATAGGGTTTAGGGTTTAGAGTTTATAAGGGTTCAGGGTTTAGGGTTTAGAGTTTATAAGGGTTCAGGGTTTAGGGTTTAGAGTTTAGAGTTTAGGGTTTAGAGTTTAGGGCGGAGACCCAAGAAAGCTTAAGCAACTCCCAACATCACGGCCCTCGGCTGGCGCCCTCAGGGCTACAGCAGTGGCTGGGGCGGAGGCAAAGGAGGCGCTTTCTGTTACGACATGCATACTTCTGTTTGTTCTTTGTTCGGTTCTTCAAGGGACTAAAGGAGGGACCCTTATGAGGGGCCTTAGGGGTTCTTTAGGGGTTGTTTAGGGGCTGCTTAGGTATACAGGGACTATGTAAGACATATATATATATATATAGGGGTTATTTTGGGAATACGATTAATCTGTAAGTCTGTTCTTCTTGGTTGTTCGACGGTACTGCTAAATGCTGATTAATCTGATCCTCCGGAAGTGTGGTATTTGTCCTTATTGAGCGGGCGCATATTGTCATGATCCTCCGGAATTTTGTTAAGGTTTTCCGGTCACCTAGTGGGGGCCGGCAGTCAACATTTGGGAATACAGGGCTTAGAGTTCAGAATGAAAATTGTACGTAGATGCGGATGCGGATGCCTGAAACTTAAACATGCAGTTGTGAGTCAGCACCTCGTTCGGATCTAGGGGCTATGGGTCCCTGAACCCTAAATAAACCCTAAACCCTCGACTCTACACCTTAAACCCTAAACCAAACCCTAACCCCAAACCCGAAGCCCTTATGGGGTTTCGGGCTCTTGGCAGGCTTCATGGGTCCTGGTGGAGGTGGATGCCGCCTGTCTGCAATGCATGTGGAGTTTGGGTTGGTTTAGGGTCTGGGGTTTGAGGTTCAGGGTTTGGGGTTTAGGGTTTAGGATCTAGGGTAAACCCGAAACCCCAAACCCCAAGGCCCCAGACCCTCAACCCTGAAGCCTGGGTTCAACAGGACGTCGAGGGGGTGGGCTCCCACAGAAGCCTCCCCCAGAATTAGGATTTAGGATTTAAGGGTTCAGGGTTTGGGGCATAAGAAAGCAAAAATCAGGAAGGTTAGTGCGGGAGCCTTCAGGGCCCTGAACCCTGAACCCTAAACTCTAGCTACAAGGGTCCTACTGAAAACTGAAAAGCCGGGCAGAGTGTGGGGGCTGAGGGCTTAGGGTCCGATACTCCGGCTCTCCACGCTGAGGTAAGGGTGGAATGCCGACACCTGGCTCGCACTTCAGGAGTTTAGGGTTATCTTTCCACATCTGCTTCTTGAGGGGCTCAACTTTGGGTGCAGGGCGTCAAGGGTTCGAGCCCCGCGGGGTTATTGGCTGCTCTAGGTCATTCTGAAACCCACAAAGTTCAGCTCCTTAGCCGCGAAGCTTTAAAAGCGTTACTTATATAATCCATAAGGATCGGCGAAAGAAGGAACCCGGCAAGGAACCCCACATATCTCAAGTGCATTCTCTAATGAAAGGGTGGTAGGCTCGCTGGATACACAGAGCTTTCTCCTCAAACCCTACACCCTGGACCCTTTCACTCTCATAAGAGAGTAGGACTTCTCGGTGTGCAGGATCGAGTTCGTCTTTCTTACGGTTATGGGCTTCGCCTTTTTAGGGCTTCGGGGATCTTCGGTTTTGGGGGTTTTAGGGCTTGAGGGTTTAGCTTGCAGGCTTAACTTGACGAGGCACAGATTCCACGCCAGACCCCAGAAGTCCCCCGAGGGGGCAAGCCCTGAAGCTCTCAAGAGCTGCAGAATTCCACCATACCCCCCCATGTGTCAGAGGCCTGCCGACCAACGTTCGGGGTTCGGTCAGAAGAGTTCTGGACCGTTTCTGGGGTTCATGTCATCGCGTTTCGTACAGTTGGGTGCCATGCCAGAGATTCCTTTCAAGTCCTGGAATACGTCCTAGATCGTAATGTGAATTATTATTTCATGTTGAGCAATGTTGGGGAGATACTGCGCCCACATAGCCAGGTCAGGCCTCCCCCCCTCCCGCGCCGGCACAGAACCTGTTCAAAGGCCAGGCAAGGGAAAGTTCAACAACTTCGGCAAGGGCTTCGGCAAGTGAGCGCGCTTGGATGTGGGCTCTCTTAAGACCCTTTAACGCAAACCCTCCAAACCCCAAGACCACCCTTGAAGGAGTTTGAACTGCACAGCAGGTCCTTCATTAGGTGCTAGAGCTTGATGCAATGTGCAAAGCTTAAGAAACCTCAGCCCCTCAACCCCTTAGTATTCTAATCTAGGGTCTTGCACATGATCTACCATTGAGCCAGCGGAAGCATAACCCCCCCTGTGCGTAGATTGTGAGTCCAGAGCTGTTGAGTGGGGTTTGGGGATTGGGGTCTAGGTTTTGAAGGGTTTTCGGGTTTGGGGGTCTGGGGGTTTGCGGTTTCGGCTAGGCTCGTCATGTAGACAGGGATCCCCTCCCGGAAGCCGTACAATCCAAGTGTGCAGAGCCTGCACTCCAAGCCGGCAAGTGCCTGCTGAAATTGGCTTCGCGTACCGACGCGCATGGAGCCGCGAGGAAGGAGCCAAAAGGGCGCGCAGCTTTAGAAGGTTTAAGGGTTTAGGGTTTAGGATTTAGGGTTTAGGGTTTAGGGTTAGGGCTTAGGGTTTAGGATTTAGGGTTTAGGTGCACAAAGTCTCCCAGGTATTGGAGGCGCACTCTAGGCAGGTTGGGGCTCAATGTTCTTAGGATGGTGTGAGGAGTATCTGGACACGTAGGACTTCGACTAGCATGGCTAAGCAACCTTTATTAAAGAGAACGCTCTAGGCGGTCCATCCTCAGCTAAGCCGCTTGAACCCATGGAATGGGGGGGAGTTTACTTGAAGGTTCATGGGACTTGCTAAGAGGCTAAGCAAACTTGGGGCTAGTGACTTATTGAGGTCCTATGAAGGGCCCCTCGACCCAAGCCCTACAGCGACCTGTACAGTCTTTCTCCTGTCGCCGAAGTTGCCGGAATTGGGGAGGGCCTAGGGTTTGGGTTTAGGGTTGAGTGCCGGGGGCCCTAAGCCCTAAAACCTGAACCTGACGGTCCAAATCCCTCGCCTTTACAAAAATGTAATCCAGAAGCACATGCCCATGCCTGTAAAAGAAGCAAAAACAGCGGAGCCTTCTGAGGCCCTGCAGCAGCCTACCTGCCCACTTCCAAGACCTGATGGAGGCTCCTGGCATCTTTTGAGGGGTTAGGGCTTAGGGTTTAGGGGTTAGGGGTTAGGGTGTAGGGGTTAGGGTTTAGGGTTTGGGGTGTAGGGGTTTCGAAATGTGTGCGTTCAAGCATCATGTCTGTTTTGCAGGTATTGCAACATGTATTTCCTGTATTCCTGTGCTGGAATATTCGGTAATAAACTACATTCACGCTTAGCTTGGTGGCGAAGCTATCTTTGAAACCTTTAAGCCTCGTTGCCAACTTTGGAACCTTTAGAGGTCTAGAACTTGTGGATTGGATGGGTGCAGGGGGTTTAGGAGTTAAGGCATACCCCCACTCGGATAAGCTTGAACGGCCCTTTTGAGAGTGTCTGTACGTACTTACCCTAAAACCTAAACCCTAAACCCTAAACCCTAAACCCTAAACCCCCATCATCCTTGAGCTTGCTAAGTAGTCCCCTGGGCGGTTCGGAACCGCTGCAATTCCGACAAACTTGTCGGGGTCTGTGTCGCAGGTAGATACTGCGGAAATGGGGGTTTAGGGTTTAGGGTTTAGGGTTTAGGGTTTAGGGTTTAGGGTTTAGGGTTTAGGGTTGTAGGTTGTAGGGTTTAGGGTGTAGGGCTTAGGTTTAAGGTTCAGGGTTTCGGTATTTTGGGGTTTAGCCTCGCAGCTCTTCTTCGAGGTGGCCGCCGAGCTCGAGGCGCGCACGGCGAAGCGAGGCAGCACTACCCCGTCCAAGCGGCGTGCCTGGGTCCATCACTGGACGGTTTAGGGTTTAGGGTTTAGGGTTTATGGTTTAGGGTAGTTACAACCCTGATCTATAGCCCCGTTTAGAATTCTTTTGCATTTCTACCATTATTTGTGTAAAACTCAAGGAACGATTGAGAGTATTCGGTTTATTCAGGTTCGAAGTGGAGGAGAGTGATCCTTGAACGTGCAAAACCCCGCACTCGTTGGGTTCTTAAAAACGCGTCTGTCCTATATAGGGCCTGAGACCAAGAACTCTTGGAAACCGCAAAGACAAGGACCTTACTTGGTCTAGGAAGATGGCTCTAGTGTGACCAGGTGGCTTAATGTAGGTGTTGGAGTTCTGCTTGGAGCTTCCTGGGTAGTAATAGCCAGGGTTGAACTTGTATCTACCCACCTTCAAGTTGGGTAGAGCCACGTGGAGACCAGATGTACTTCATCCGCATGAGGGTAGGCCTACCCACACCAAACCCTAGTTATGCATCCTGTACTGTACCCCAAACCCCCTACCCCAAGCCCAACAACCCACCAACCCCCGTAAACCTACAACCCCGAAGCCCTCAACGGAGTTTTTTGGGGATTTTAATGGCTTTGTGGCCAGGTTGTAATTCAAGGGTTGAGGGCTTGAGCGTTTCTAGCGCCGGAAGCGGTGAGGATCGTTCGCCTTCGCGCTAGGTGCTAAGCCGAAGGCGCCCGCCTCGCCACAGAGCTGCTTCACGCCGAGGAACCCCTTGGGGAGGGCGAGTGTTGTGTTTGAGGTTGGGGGGTTAGACGCGGCTTGGGGGTTAGGGTTTGGGTGCGTTTTGGGTTCTTCCGACTAGATGGATGCCAGGCTTGTCAGTGGCTGTTGGGGGGGCGGGCGGGGGGGGGGTTGGGGGGGGATTCTACGGTACGGCCCGAAAGCTCCTAAGTCCTGAGCCAAACGACCACAATCCCCCCGAAGCCTGAGTCATTAAGTTTGCCAAGCCCTGGTTCTTACATCCTAACTACTCAACTTAATCTCGAAACCCATATTCTTAAACCCTAAATCCTAAACCCTCAGCCCTAAACCCTAAGCATCAAATCCCTACTCCTTAAACCGTAAAGCCCCCCTAGATCCCAAAATCTTCAAACCCTCCCATGAGTTGCAGCCTCAAGGAAACCGCGACGCTGGGCACCGCAGCAAAGCTGCCGCCCAGCAAATTCTGGCAGAATACTGGAGGGCTTCCCTATAGACCATTTTTTGACGGTATGGTTTAGGGTTTTGGCTTTGGGGCCTCAAACCCTAGGTTTTTTGCACATGTCACATGTCCTATTTCTAAGCATGCAACGTGGCATGCGATCTTCCTGTTGAGAACCCATGCTTTCCAGGGCGGACATGTGACAGAATACCGTGTCGAAAGCGTCAGATCATGAGCGGAGGGGTGACAAAGACTAAGAACATATGGGAGACAGTACTGGACAACAACAAATCAAGCAGTCAATCAGGCACAACTACATCCAGCACAGCAGCCCAGTCCCCGAATGCCCCCGACCCAGACCCTAATTAAACCCTAAACCCTAAACCCTAAACCCTAAACCCTAAACCCTAAACCCTAAACCCTAAACCCTAAACCCTAAACCCTAAACCCTAAACCCTAAACCCTAAACCCTAAACCCTAAACCCTAAACCCTAAACCCTAAACCCTAAACCCTAAACCCTAAACCCTACTCACTTAATTCTGAATTGGAATCCGTTTAGTCGCCAAGTGTCTCGCTTCGTGACAGCCCGCATGACCGATTGCATAAACCCCAAACCCCAAACCCCAAACCCCAAACCCCAAACCCCAAACCCTAAACCCTAAACCCTAAACCCTAAACCCTAAACCCTAAACACTAAACCCTAAACCCTAAACCCTAAGAAAGTGGGGAGACTGAAGAAGCAACCTCAGGAGGGCCAAGAAAAAATGGACAACAACATGTTTGGGGGGTGGAAACAGCAACCTCGGGTGTCAAAAGACGCAAGGGTGGGCATCTAACCCTAAACCCTAAACCCTAAACCCTAAACCCTAAACCCTAAACCCTAAACCCTAAACCCTAAACCCTAAACCCCAAACCCCTAAACCCTAAGCAGGTCCGATTTCTACCCCTTTCCCCCCCCCCCAATCCCCCCAGCTGTACCTTGCGCATGCCAAAATTGGCGGCCCTTCAAGCTCGAGTTTTTTGTTGCTTCCGGACTTCCCTCAACCCTAAGCCCTAAGCCTTCGACCCGGAACCCTAGATAAACCCCTAAACCCTAATTAATCCCTGAACCCTAAACTTACTTCGGCGTCTGGGCTAGACAAGCGGCACCCTAAACCCTTATACCCCAATCATACCATGAACCCTAAAACCCTAATTCAACCCTAAAACCCTAAAACCCTAAAACCCTAAAACCCTAAAACCCTAAACCCTAAAACCCTAAAACCCTAAACCCTAAAACCCTAAACCCTAAACCCTAAATCCCTAAAACCCTAAACCCTAAACCCTAAACCCTAAACCCTAAACCCTAAACCCTAAACCCTAAACCCCTAAACCCTAAGCAGGTCCGATTTCTACCCCTTTCCCCCCCCCCAATCCCCCCAGCTGTACCTTGCGCATGCCAAAATTGGCGGCCCTTCAAGCTCGAGTTTTTTGTTGCTTCCGGACTTCCCTCAACCCTAAGCCCTAAGCCTTCGACCCGGAACCCTAGATAAACCCCTACACCCTAATTAATCCCTGAACCCTAAACTTACTTCGGCGTCTGGGCTAGACAAGCGGCACCCTAAACCCTTATACCCCAATCATACCATGAACCCTAAAACCCTAATTCAACCCTAAAACCCTAAAACCCTAAAACCCTAAAACCCTAAAACCCTAAACCCTAAACCCTAAACCCTAAACCCTAAACCCTAAACCCCTAAAACCCTAAACCCTAAACCCTAAACCCCTAAACCCTAAACCCTAAACCCTAAACTTACTTATCGGCCGGACAAGCGGCTTTCTTCACCCCAGGCACCTGCCGCCGCCGACACTTCCGGAAAGCGCCCGAGTCCCAGCCCACTCCCTAAACCTGAAGCCCTTGGGTTCATAGGGTTTAGGGCTTAGGGTTTAGGGTTTAGAGTGTAGGGTTTTGGGTTTTGGGTTTTGGGTCTTGGGTTTTGGGTTTTGGGTTTTGGGTTTTGGGTTTACGCGGTTTAGGGTTTAGGGCTAGTAGAGTAAACGCAAATCCCTAAACCCTGAACTTGGGGTGGGTTTGGCGTGGGGCACTGGAAATCGGAGTTTGGGGGTTGGGCGGAAAGGGTTTAATTAGGAATTTAGGTTGGGATGTTCCCTGTATACTAACAGTCCTGAGTAGGGATTGTAGTACCCCCTAATACAATCTTTTTTTTGGACTGTAAGCCCTGTAAGTATTCAGCGGAACATCCCAAGATTTAGCGGTTGACGCCAGTGGATGTGACAGCTTTGCTCCCACCCTGTATGTCTGCTGGTCATGCGCGAGGTTCAGTTTCAACCGCCCCACCGGCTAAACCCTAAACCCTAAACCCTAAACCCTGAACCCTGACCCCTGAACCCTAAACCTAAACCCTAAACCCTAAACCCTAAACCCTAAACCCTAAACCCTAAACCCGAAACTAAACCCTTGAACACTGAATTCTGATCAGGTCTTGCGCCGAGACTCTGAGGCGAGAGCCTGAGAGTTGTCGCCTTTCGCTTCAGGGTTTGGAGGGGTTTGGGAAGTGTTTGTTTCATGTTTGTGTGCGTTTTGTCTTTTTCAGTGTGTCGGGAAGAAATTTGGGATTAATTGCGTTGCGTGGCCTTCTAACTTTCCACTTTCCTGTCTTTTTTTCTTCTGATGGGGTGGGGGTCGGGGGTGAGGGGGGGGGGGGTGGAGTCGGGGAAGAAATGCGTTTGCTCGGGCAGCATAGGGGGTTTAGGGTCTAAGTTGTTCGGCGTTTACGGGGTTTGGAGGTTTGGGGTTCGCTAGCAGACCGATGTTTCGCACGGTCTGACTCGGCGATATGCCATGTAAACAATCCCATTCTCCCGTTCCGTTTTTTGGCGAGGAATACCCAACAAAAGGTGCAATTTAGCTGTTTTTTCATGTTAAGGACGGTTAAGGCCCATTTGGACCCTTCGTTCGCTAAACCCTAAACCCTTTAGTAGGCAAGGACATTGCACGTGGGGTTAGAAGTAAGGCGACTGTAGAGAATTGCTTCTAACCTCCTCTGGGGCACGTATTTGGGACATGTTCAACCAGGCAGCTTTCTGTGGAAGAGTCTGAAAAGAAGCTTGTGTCAACCCTTTGCGGAGGCTCATATAACTAGCAACTACCCCGCTGTGACTGTCCCTTAGGTTTCAACTACCCATGAGCCTTCAAGTGGGATTAAGGTTTGGGATTGATATGAGGTTTAGGGTTGGGTTTCGGGTTTCGGGTTTAGGGTTTCGGGTTTCGGGTTTAGAGTTTAAAATTTAAGGTTTAGGGTTTAGGTTCTTGGTTTGCCAACTAGTTGTATTTGGGGTTCTAAACCAGTTGGTGCACAACATAAGGCCAATTAGTGGTCGTGATGGGAACCTTGAGTTTTTTTCGAGAAAGGAAGTCCCATGAAATCTCAAACTCGCATGCTATGCGGCAAGTAGGAAAACGCAACCTGTCGAAAACCCAGACTCTCATGACCGCTGTTGGGAGCAGGACAAGGGGCAGATTTCAAGACCCTAAGCCCTTACACCTTCAACTCCTCTACTCACTACTGATTAATTAATTGCTTAAGAACCCCGAAAACTTCCTTATTAAAGGTAATATAGGGATTACTATGTTTTATTCTTTTGGGGTTCTTAAGCAAATAGTAGCAAAGCGGAGCCTCCAAGCCTCCTAGCCTACTGAAGCCCCTCCAAACTTACCAACTCCAGTCTCACCGAGGCACATGAACATCCGGCTGTGGAGGCAGAAGGTAATGGAGGCGGCGCAGGGTCTGTCGTTTACCAGGGGCGTGATGAGGTGTTTAAGCATTTTGTGGTGGGGGGGGGGGGGGGGGGGGCCAGCATCTGAGAAAGCATGGGTGTTGGATTGTTTTGGTTCCGCCTGGCCTGGAGCTCTCTCCCAGATTTCCGTCCCGACGAACCACAGTTCTAGTGCCGGAGCTCTTGTGTTGGCTGAGTCGTTGGTTTGTTTTTTCTAAGCTGGGGAGAGGCGCATGGGATATTCTTTCGTGTGAGGAGAACTATGACATGGGAAGACCGCTACGCCCTAGGTTTTAGGGTTTGGGGTTTGGGGTTTGGGGTTTGGGGTTTGGGGTTTGGGGTTTAGGGTTGAAGGGGTTTAGTTCAATTTTAGGTTTTAGGGGATAAACCCCAAACTTCTCTAAGCCTCCAACTGGCAGGGTGAGATCTCTTCCGAGATTCGCAGCTTCCTGACGAGAAATCGGCAGGCCGGCATCGTAAACGGGACCTCAACCCATTATTGCAAGGAAGAACCCTTAAAGTGATCATGAGAACCTGAAAGATAGGGAAGAATCCTGAGCTAAGGGCTCTTGGCAGTTTCGACGTTCGGTTGAGGGCATCTGCCTTTGCCCAGGGCAACGGACTGCACGGGCCGAGGGTTCATCGATCCGTTCCTGCTGGGTGGTGGGGGTTTCGAGTGTAAGGTTTACTTGCAGGTTCTGAGCAGCGAAGTATAGCATCAGGCACCTTACATCCCCGTATGTAAGCCCTGTTTCTTTTTTGCGATTATATGTGGGCTCTCTAATTCCCTCTATACGGACCATTATGTAAAGTGTAGGGCTTCGGGTATTCAAGCCGATCCTTCGGGAAGGAAAAACCCCTCAAGTTTTACATGGCTTGGGGCCGCGAAGGCCGAAACCCCCCAGGTGTAATCCCCCAAAACCTTGTGATTCATGACTCCTGAACTACTAGGTAGGCCTTTGGGACATTCTCATATTTTGCTTATTGGGTTTAAGAGGACAACATTGAAGAGCATTGTTCAGAAGGCAAAAGCCGTCCTAGACTCGTACCGTAAACCCTTCAAACCACAAACCCTGAAAACCCGAGACGACCCCTAACTCCTAAGCCCCCATAGCCCCCCAACCCCAACCCTAGCCCTGCAAAGCCCTGAGCCCTAAGTTGTGTGCGCCTGCAGTATTCAAAGACTGACAGTAGTACTGGCAGCAAACATTTGTCAGGTAAGGTTCACACATCGTTCAAACCTTAACCTCTATATAACTTGCTGCCCCAATACCCTAATCCCCGCAACCCTATAACCCAAGAACTCTAAGAACCGGAAGCTCCCTTCACCTTCGGCCGGGGAGCCGCTCAGTGGGGACAGATGCACATTAGAAACCCTAGACTCCCGGAGGTCACATCACTGCCGGAACTTCGGGATGCGCTGCACCTTGTCCTTACGAAATGGGGCTGGGTAGGGTTTAGGGTTTAGGGTTTAAGGTTGAGGGTTTAGGGTTTAGGGTTAGGGTTTAGGGTTTAGGGTTTAGGGTTTAGGGTTTAAGGTTTAGGGTTTAGGGTTTAGGGTTTAGGAGTTAAATGGGTAACCTTCCATGTGGTACGCACAATCCTGTTTCTAACTGTGGGACTTTAGACAGAGAATGGCACTAGTTCGTATATAAGGGCTATATAGGGGGGCACCCTTTTTAAGGCCCATACTAAGGCACCATGTAACTACCCTGAGACACAGAATTCAGGCCTCATGGCCCCGGGTGCTGGAAAATTCTGGGTCGAAGGCCCCCTTGCGCAACTCAAAGGAAGAGTAAACTCCAGCCCCTCAACTCTGACCCTAGACCTTAACAGTTCCCAAACACCTCCAGAGATCCCCAGGAATCAGAGTCCAGAAGCGCGGCGCCGTGAGGCTGAGCTGTGCTTGATGCGGGTGGTGCCAGTGGTTTCGTAACTTACCCTTAACCCTAAACCCTAAACCTTAACTCTTTCTAATATGCCTAGGGGCACTTCATATTAAAGTTAGCTAGCTTTCGTAGCCTTGTGGTATCCTGATTCTATAGTATGTCTGGAGGCAGTTGCGTTACAGCTAGCTTGCGTTAGTTTACTGGTCGCCAAGGATGTAGGACATCTAGGGCTCAACAACCATAACCAACAACTAACCCCCAACCCTAAGCCGTAAAACCCTGAATCCTAAACCCTACAACCCTGAACTCTAAACCCAAAAACCCTGAACCCTGAACCTTAAATCCTAATCCCTAAACCCCCAAGCCCCCCAAACCCCTAAACCCCTAAACCTAGAACCCCTAAACCCCTAAACCCTAAACCCTGAAGGCCCGGGCAGCCCCCCCGAAATTGACCCCCCCCAATTGAATTCGGATAGGGGGGGGGTATCCTTGTTAAAGGCCCGGGCAGCCCCCAAATTCACTTCGGATAGGGGGGGGGTATCCGTTTTACAGGGCGCGCCTCTGCCGAGCATTGACCCCTCCGGCAATTGAATTCGGATAGGGGGGGTATCCTGGTTAAAGGCCCGGGCAGCCCCAAATTGAATTCGGATAGGGGGGGGGGGTATCCGTTTTAAAGGCCCAGGGCCCCCGCAATTGAATTCGGATAGGGGGGGGGGTTCCTCCTGGCAGCCCCCGGATAGGGGGGGGGTATAATTGGGATAGGGGGGGGGTATCCTGGTTTTTCGGATGGGGGGGTATCCGCTTTAAAGGCCCGCCCCCCGCAATTGAATTCGGATAGGGGGGGGGGGGGGGGGGGTATCCTGGTTAAAGGCCCGAGCAGCCCCCCAAATTCACTTCGGATAGGGGGGGGGGGGTATCCGTTTTCAAGGCCTGGGCCCCCCCGCAATTGAATTCGGATAGGTATCCTGGTTAAAGGCCGGGCAGCCCCCAAATTCACTTCGGATAGGGGGGGGGGGGGTATCCGTTGTAAAGGCCCGGACCCCCCCGAAATTGAATTCGGATAGGGGGGGGTATCCGTTTTAAAGGGCGCGCCTCCGCCCAGCAAAATGGCCAGGTTTAGGGTAATAAAATATACTTAGGTCTTGGAGAGCTTGGAGGGGGCTTGGGCTGGGGCGCGGCATGAAGGGGCGCGAAGGGCTTGGAGAGCTTGGAGAGCTTGGAGGGGGCTTGGGCTGGGGCGCGCCACGAAGGGGCTTGGAGAGCTTGGAGAGCTTGGAGGGGGCTTGGGCCACGAAGGGGCTTGGAGAGCTTGGAGAGCTTGGCGGAGGCTTGGGCTGACACCCTAAACCCTTAAACCCCTAAACGCCTAAACCCCCAAACCCCTAAACTCCCTAAACCCCCAAACCCCTAAACCCCTGAACCCCTAAACGCCTAAACCCCCAAACCCCGAAACCCCTAACCAAAAACCCTAAACCCCTAAACCCCTAAACCCCTAAACCCCTAAACACTAAACCACTTAACCCCTAAACCCCTAAACCCCTAAACCCCTAAACCCTAAACCCTAAACCCTAAGCTCCCGGAGGTCACGTCACTGCCGGAACTCCGGGATGCGCTGCCCCTTGTTCTTACGAAATGGGGGCTGGGTAGGGTTTGGGGTTTGGGGTTTAGGGTTCAGGGTTCAGGGTTCAGGGTTCAGGGTTCAGGGTTCAGGGTTTAGGGTTTAGGGTTTAGGGTTTTGGGTTTTGGGTTTTGGGTTTGGGGTTTAGGGTAGAGGGTTGAGGGTTTAGGGTTTAGGGCTTAGGGCTTAGGGCTTAGGGCTTAGGGTTTAGGGTTTAGGGTTCAGGGATTACATGGGTACCTTACATGTGGTACTCACAACCCCCGTTTATAATCACCCCTGGGCTTCCAAGCGTAGTGCTGGGAATGTGGGGCGTTAGACAGAAAAAGGTTACCATTTGTTCATGCCGATGTTCTCTCTAGGATCTAGAGTAGGGCACCGGGTGCTATCTTCAATGCCTGGGTGCTGTAACATTCTGCAGCGAAGCACCCCTGCGCAAGTCGAAGGAAGAGCTTGGCACCCTGAACCCTATACGCGAAACCCTAAATCCTAAACCCTAAACCCCAAACCCTAAATCCTAGACCCTAAACTCCAGCCCCTCCTCAACTCTGACCCTAGACCTAAACAGTTCCCAAACACCTCCAGAGATCCCCAGGAATCAGAGTCCAGAAGCGCGGCGCCGTGAGGCTGAGCTGTGCTTGATGCAAGTGGTGCCAGTGGTTTCGTAACTTACCCTAAACCCTAAACCTTAACTCTTTCCAATATGCCTAGAGGCACTTCATATTAAAGTTAGCTAGCTTCTCAACCCTAGGACAGAAGGTTTAGGGATTAGGGCTTAGGGTTTATGATTTACGGTTTGGGGTTTATAAGGTTTACGGTCTAGGTTTTCTTCTTGGCTAGCTGCGAACCCGGTGAGCAGATGTCCTCGCCAGTGCCAGCAGCTAACCCCAAACCCTAAACCCCCTAAAACCCTAAACCCAAAGTAAACCCTAAAACCCTAAGCCCTAACCCTAAACCCTAAACCCTAAACTCTGAACCCTAGCCCTAAACCCTAAACCCTCCACCCTGAACCCTAAGCCTCGTGTTGAGACCAGCGAAGTCCTTGACACCGCCGCGCCGACTCCTGGCGAGGTACAGGGAGACCAGGCTGGCTTCTGTGAGGGTTCCTAAGGGAGGGTTGAGGGTTTAGGGACTTGGGTTCAGGGTTTGGGGGGTTTGGGGGGTTTGGGGTTTGGGGTTCAGGGTTTTTGGTTTGGGGTTTGGGGTTTGGGGTTTGGGGTTTGGGGGGGTTTAGGGTTTACGGTTTGGGGCTTGGGGTTTGGGGTTTGGGGTTCTGAAGGGAGGGATCATAAGTTATGGGGGACCTTCAGGGAGGGTTTAGGGTCTAGGGTTTAAGGTTTGGGGTTTAGGGTTTAATGTGTAGGGTTGAGGGTTTATAGCGAGGGGCGTCAAGGGGGGGTATGCAACCCAAGGTTAGATGAAGCCCTCCCGCAGACCTGGCACAGGAGCGCGGCGAGGCTACTGGATCAAACAATGTCGCAGAGGTTGCGAACGGCATAGCATGGCGACGGGTGATCCAAGGGCTGCTCGACAAGAGGAATTGGCAAGCAAGCGCGCCTACCGAGCCGAGATGAGATGGAATGACTGAGGGGTGCGACGATGTCCATGCTGGTGAAGTGTCGCTTGCTGTTGCTCGTGCAAGGTTCCCTAATCATTAACGCATAGCCAAGGCGCCTTGAACCCTTCTCACCGCGTCTAGACATAAAGCCATTTGAGGGTTAATTCGTTCCTATAGTTTTGAGAACAAGGGTCCGGTGGACGCCCACTTTATAGCTAGGATGACTTATAGTACCCACGTAGCCGCTTCCGGGGCTTAGACTTTGCCAGGGGAACATCCCCAAATGCCTAGATCCCCCAAACCCTACGTACACCTGAACCCCCTAGATCATCACACCCTAAACTGGTTGAGCCTTCAGGGTCTTTCAAACCAAGGGGTTTAGTGTCTAGGGTTTAGAGTTTAAGGGTTAGGCTTTAGGGTTTAGGGTTCAGGGTTCAGGGTTCAGGGTTTAGGGTTTAGGGTTTAGGGTTTAGGGCACGCCCATCTCTGCTCCAGGTGGCGGCAACGCAGGTGGACGAGGTTCCAGGGTTTTGGTGCGAGGGCTTCAGGTGGAGGGTCTCGGGTCTAGGGTTTAGGGTTTAGGGTTTAGGGTTTAGGGTTTAGGGTTTAGGGCTAGGGTACCGAGGGGCTGCAGACCTTGACAAGAAAAAGCACTGACTTGGACAACTCAGCTTGGTCTTGCTTTGATTGCTCTTGTTGTTTTGGTTCGTGAGTTGTTTGGGTTGTTTAGAGTTACCCTAAGCCGGCACGTCAGCCATGTAAGGGGGGAGCCCTCGTCTTGCGTTTTGCAGCGCCCTACAACATCTATGCCAAAGCCGTACGAGTCTCATCCCCACACGCCAAGGCCTGCAACCCGCAAATCCTAAGCCGTAAAACCTCGGAAGCCTTTGGGGTTTGGGCTTCTAGGAGCCAAAACACCCTGAGGACAGGGCTTAGAGTTCAGGGCTTAGGGCGTTAAACCGTTGAGGGTTAGGGTTTCGGGTATTCCCTAAACCCTAAAGACATAAGCTGGCTGGAGCAGTTTTGTAGACCTTCACCCTTGTAGATTTCGTCCTTTAACCCAAAAATATCCTCAATCCATACGCCCGGCCCCGAAATTTCCCTAAATGTAAACCAATTTGCCTAAAGACCCATACAAGAGGCCCTTCAAGCAACTGCGAGGACACCGCCGTCGAGGACTCCGCCGTGGCTGCCCCCATGACGCCACCCAGCGCGCCGGCGGAGAGCGAGCCAGAGGAGGCACGTGATGCAAAGGACTATGCCAGTTACAGGTTTCCTTAAGAAACCAAAACCTACCGTTTTTTGGGTTTTCCTAAGAATCCCATAAGGGTTTTTTTTGGTAGTATGCCCTCAAAAGTAGGCTTTGGGTTCTGAAGCTTGGGATTTAGGAAGGAGGATGCTTCGGTCAGAGGATGGAAGCAGGTACTTCGTGCCCAAGACAGGGGTCTTGGAAGATAGCCAAGGCAGGCCCTGTTGGTTGGAAGACATGACTTCTGGGACGAAAGCCTGGAAAAAAAACCCGAAGCCCGAGCCCAGCCGCGAGACTCTGAAGACCCCTAAACCCCCTGCAAACCCCGAACCCCCCCCCCCCCCCCCAAGACCCTGAAGCCCTAAACCCTTAAAGCCCGTAGGTTCTGAACTAAGCCGCCACCTTCAGCCCAAAACCCTAAACTCTGAACCCTAAACGCTAAAGGCCCTTGCCCTGGACGAAGAAATGCCTCCGGCGGCAGAAGAGCCGGAGGAGGCTTTGGGGTTTGGTGTAGGGTGGAGGGAGGGGGGGGGTTAGGGTTTAGGGTCTAGGGTCTAGGGTTCAGGGTTCAGGGTTCAGGGTTTAGGGTTTGGGGTGCGGGCGTTGAAGTTGAGGGTTTGGGGTTTTGTTGAGTTTTTTGTTTGGGATGGGGGGGGGGAGGGCTGAGGGTTCAGGGCTGAGGGTTTGCCGTTCTGGGTCTAAAGGAAAGTCAGAACCAAAAATGCCCATAAGGAAAGATGTGTACCCAACAAAGTCAATTGCGCATGGTTGGGGATGCATATCCAAGACCCATTCTTCAATTCCGATAGACATAGCTGACAGAGGCTCATCAGACTCGTCTTTGTCGCAACTTCCTAGTCTGCTGCGAAACCCCGGAAGCCCTAAACCCATAGCCCCGATCGTTGCCGCTTTGCTCATCCATCGCGCTGAGCCATGCAATTCGTTTAGGGTTTCGGGATTGCGGGTGAGACTACGCGCTCCACACGGTCTGAAACTGGCAACGCTTCTCATCCCAGGTTATCGCCCAAACCCTAAACCCTAAACTCTCAATAAGGTTTAGCCCTGGAGCCCAATGCTGCCTCTTGCCCCCGAGTTTAGGGTTTGTGAGGTTAGGGCCAAAACCTCGAACCCTATCACTCTGCACCCTAAACTCTGCAACTGTTCTTGGAGTACTTATTATTGCTCCTTGAGGGACCGGAGCCGGCCCCAGCCCCTCTAGTGCTGGTGCAGGGCCACTGGGCTGGTGCATGGGCTGTGCCATGTACGTTTTCCCTGCATACAAAGGTGTTTGGCAGCGCTGCAAGTTTACGTTCCTCGAGGAGCTGGAGTCCGAGTGGCGAGCCCTGACGTCTCCTTTTGAGCTCCCGCCTAACCTCCGACGAGTCCTGCCGAAGGACGCCGAGCCCGTGTCCTTAGTTCCCAAGCGGGAGCAGCAGGTCGAACATCAACAAGTTGCAAGAGCAAGCTAGTAAGCCCTGAACCACAAACCCTGATACCCCCAAAAGCTTTAAACGCCAGCTAAGCACAATCCCCCTAAACCCGCCTGCAACCTGCCCTAAACCCTAAACCCCCAACCCCCCCCCCCCCCCCCCCCTCGCCACCCCCCCCCGGTGCCGCGCACTGGAACCCCCTCAGAGGCCCCCGATGCGGTCGACACCGCGATGCAGTCGACCGAGCCGCCTGCTTGGGAGCTTGAGGAGGAGGAGGCGGGGCCCTCTGTCTTGATTGAGGTCTTTAGGGTGTTTGTGGGCTTCTAAGGTTGTTAAGGGTATTTGGGGTATTTTGGGTTTAGGGTGTTCAGGGCTGATAGGGTATTTCAGATATTTAGGGTATTTTGGGTGCAAGGTGTTAAGGGTTTTAACCAACATTCAGAGCTTCTGTGTCATGTCACAGCAGACCATAAACCCTAAGCCCTCTAAACCGTGAACTCTAAATTCTAAGCCCTACAAACCCTAAACCTCATAAACCCTCTAAAGCCTCAACCCTTAAACCCTCACCGACTTGACCGCAGGCTATATCCCCCTTGGGAAGTATTACTTATTTTTGTTTATCTAAAACCCAAGAGGATATTAGAAATATTTGGTTTAGGGTTTTGGGTTTAGGGTTTAGGGTTCAGGATTTAGGGTTTAGGGTTTAGGGTTTAGGGTTTAGGGTTCAGGGTTTAGGGTTTAGGATTTAGGGTTTAGGTTTATGAAGGATCTAAGGGGAGTATAGCAAATACCCTAAACCCTACACCCTAAACACTAAACTTAAACCCCAATGTTATGTTTATCAAGGTTCTAAGGGGAGAATAGCAGGCTCACTTGCCGCCAGCACTGCACGAAGCCTCCCTGATCGGCGAGCTGGATGTTCCCGGGATCCAAGTGCCTGCGGCTTAGGTGTCTAGCGTGTTCCTAAAGCCCCCTTAGAGGAATTAATTAGACTTTTATTGAAACCAAAGCAGCCCCCTTATGAATTAATTAGTTAGACTTTTATTTGTATGAAACCTAAGGGAATATTACAAAGCATATTTTTATCAAGGTTCTCAGGTGTGGTAGTTTCATGGGTTCTGATGTATGGGCCCTTGGGTTGCACAGGGCATATAAGGGGTATATAAGGGGTCCCCTTTCAAGGGCCCAGATGAAGGGACCATGTAGCTACCCTGAGAGGGCTTAGGTTTAGACAGAGGGTTAGGGTGCAGGGTTTACAGGGTTTAGATGTTTGGGTGTTTAGGCTTAGGGTTTACAGTTTATGGCCTTTGAGGGCTTATAAGGTTTCAGGGTTAAGTGCTGTGTGGGGCCTCTAGTTTAAGGTTCTGGTACTCGGTTGCCTCCCTGAACCTTGCCTGGTTGCACCATGACGAACCCGGATTTAGGGTATAGGGTTCAGGGTTTAGGGTTTAGGGTTGAGGAAGCCTTAGATCGAACCAGGATTTAGGGTTTCAAGCTCTACGGTCGAAAGGCACTTGGACCCGTAGGGCACATGTGGTCTCACCCATAGCTCCTGCGGCAAAGTTTCAGGGCTTAGGGTTTGGCACTCTGAGCTTCATGGGTTCCCCTACTACTCCCCTCTAGACTACACCCTAGGCTCCCCCCATAATTCAGGCTCTTTAGAGATATTGAAGCCTAGTTAAGGTTATTTAAGGGGGGAACCTTGGGGGAACCTAGTATGGAGGGGGGTTGCCCTACCATGAGAGCTTCAAACAGTCCCATCTGAGTATAGTTCATCCTGAATTCGGGGCCTAAGCCTGGGCCTGCCCCGGCTCCAGACTCCAACTCCTCAATCCTTATCCAGTCCCTATATGAAGGCACCCTCAGATTCCCTACATCTGAGGCTGCCCTCCTTATCATCCCAAGGTTGAACTTAGGAGGATTTGGCCACCACCACCACCCTGACGATACGGACCTGCTCTCAAATGATCATCTTGTGGTCTTTACATCTATGGACCTTCTAGGACTGATGACATGCTGTTGCGGCCCTCAGATTCGGGGTTAATCAGATGCCCTAAACCCCAAGTCCCAAACCCTAAACCCTAAACCCCAAACCCAAACCCCAAACCCCAAACCCTAAACCCCAAACCCTAAACCCTAAACTTGTGAAAGAGTTCTGGGATATTGGGGACTTCGGGTTTGCTTCCCTTGGCCGCCGAGCTGCTCTCAGAGGAGTCCAGCATGCGCTGGGTCCGCGGGTTTAGGGTTCAGGGCTTAGGGTTTGGGGTTTGGGGTTAGAGAGTTTAAGAGTTTAGGGTTTAGGGTTTAGGGTTTAAAGGTCCGACTCACGGCCAAAAGTGCCAGGCAAATGTTTGATTGCGGAAAGCAGCTGCCCAGCAAAAGTTCGACATTCGGGCATTGGGTGTGGAGTCATCAAGCGTTGTCTGGTAGGTTCCCCAACTTAGGGCTTATAGGTTTTAGGATTCTGCTTTAAGGTGGGTACCCGAAAAATTAGGGTTTAAAGGCTTTCGGGTTCTGTTGTGGGTGCCGATCGCACTGCCGGCTACTCAGGGTGCTTGGAAGGGACCAGAGCCACCTAAAGTAATCATCAACCCTTCACATCCTTCAATAAGGTCATTCACTTCATCTTCGTTTCCAAGTCTATGAGTTGAACGAAACAATGGTTCGTTGGTGTTTTCATGCGGTTGCACTGTAAGCACGAGTTATATAATATGAAAGAAGAGAGTTGAATGAGCGGGTGTGAGCAAAATCGAGTTCACGGTGGAAAAGTACATCCTAAAGCCTAAGCCTTACACAGGTTGGTGGTCTCTTTAACAGGGGTTTCTGTTTTCAAAAGTGTAGATATAGGGATCCTGTTTATGGTATGTAGGGGCTATATTGTGTACTTTATGGAACAGATAAAGAGACCACCAGCCTGTATAACAAAACCGTAAACCAAGTCCAGTGGTGAATGGCTCCCCGGCCCCCGAGCTCCAGTGCTTGAATGTGCTGAAACACGAGCTCTTGGCGCTTCACCTGAAGTCGCTGGTGCGACCATTTTAGCGGTAAAGCACGGGCTATGGAATGTGTTGGATTTCTAGATCCTGTCCAAAAGGGTACCCATTAGATATAGTTTCCAAGACGGGCTAGTCTACCCCACAATGCCTAGATAAAGCCCTTTATAGGGTTGTGTATGGGGATTATAGGGCCTATCAGCCCATCCTGGTTGGTTACTGGGCTACCAAGGCTAAGCACACCGCGAAACCCCTCACCCCCAGGTCTTTCAGCCGAAACTGGATGCCCATCGTTGCGGCAATTCACGGCTCGAAAGTAGACGGCCGCTGGCCGGAGTGAGGGTCCCGGGTTCAAGACCCTACGCCCTAAACCCTAAACCCGAAACCCTAAACCCTAAACCCTAAACCCCAAACCCTGAACCCTAAACCTCAAACCGTCAATCCGAAACCCTAAACCCTAAACCTAAAAGCCGCCCTGAATCCAAACACATAGGGGTTTGGGCGGCACCAGAGCACCCTTACTAAATCCCTGAGCTCTCAACCCTTAGCCCTCAACCCCCGCTGAGGAGCTGAGCCCAAGCCTAGCCCTTATTAACCCTTGTTTCTGATAAGCAGTTGCGTCTGTTCGCCCTGTCAACCCATAGGGCCAATCTTGGCTCTACACCCCTCTACAACTCACAGACCGGAAGCCTCGAACGGAACCATGACCTAGGTTTAGGGTTTTGGCGTGAGGGTTTAGGGTTGTGGTTGTAGCTTAGGGTGTAGAAGTTTGGATTTCGTCCCCATGGCACACTGGGATGGAGATGATGTGGTGGCCGGGGCCACACGCTCGCCTGTACGCTCCCTATAGACCCCCTGCTTGTCCTCCTGCTTGAGCTCAGCAAGCAACGGAGAGCTAAGAAACAAGCGCTCGCGGTAGGTCGCATTTCTGAATCCCACGGCCTCAGTCCTGCTAAACTCTGAAACTTGCACTCAAGACCCCAAAACCTGGAACCCTGAAACTCCCAAACCCTGTCCCAGAACCCCAAAATCCCCAAAACCCTGAACCCAAACACTCCAAAGCCCTAGGCCCAAAGCCCCTCAAAAACCCCAAAAGCCTGAACCTTTAGGGTTTAGGGTTTAAATGCCCTAAGCCGGCTGATGGTTTTTTTTTTTTTTTTTTCGTTTTTTTTCTTTTTTTTTTTTCGTGTTTTTTTTTTTTTTTTTTTTTTTTTTTTTTTTTTTTTTTTTTTTTATGGTTTCAGGTGAACCCTAAACCCTAAACCCTAAACCCTAAAAACCCTAAAAACCCTAAAAACCCTAAACACCCTAAACCCTAAACCCAAGACCATGAAAAATACGAAAAAAACCAGAAAACATACGAAAAAATAACCTGGACCCCCCTAAGCCTCTCCAAAAAGCCTTAAATCATGAATGCAAAAAACCCCAAGCACCCTTGCATCATCCAGCTCTAAACTCCTCTAAATGCCCTAAGCCTCTCCAACCAAGCCCTCAACACCAACAACGCCCTTGAACCTTAAATCATGAAACCCTCAAGTCCGAAGACCCTGAACCCATCCAACAACCCTAAACCCTCAAAGATGTCGAAAATCATATTTGGGCTGATTTAGCAGATTACAAAACTAACCTTAAAGCAGCTTTCTTTATTTAACTACTAAACATAAATTAAATATCCGAACCCTAAACTGGGTACTTGGGATGTTTCCTATTCACCCGTATTGGGTGTAAAAGGATCACTTTAGGAATTTCTGTTTGAGGGTGTCAAGGGCCAATCTAGTATATTATCGAACCCTGAACCCTAAACTCTAAACCTTAAACCCCAAACCCTCCATTGGGGCAGGCTCAGCCTCGGCGCGATCCCGGCCGCAGCGGCCGAGTTCGGCTGTCCGGGGCCCCTGCGCCAGGGCTTCGGGCGTTGGTTTAGGGTTTAGGGTTTGGGGTTTAGGGTTTGGGGTTTTGGGTTTTGTGGTTTGGGGTTTAGGGTTTTTGGGTTTATATAGGGCTTAGGGGCCCTTAGGGGTTTACGGGATTAAGGGTTCAAAGGGCTGAAGGTGCAAGGGTTTAAGGGTTTCAGGGTTTCAGGGTTTAGGGGTTTAGGGGTTTAAGAGTTCAAGGGTTTAAGGGTTTGAGGTTTAGGGTTTAAGGGGGTGGCGTGCGTCGAGGTTAAAGGATTTAGGGTCTCAGGGTGTAGAAACTCAGTTTAAACGGTTTGCGTTGGTTGTGAAACGCAAGGACGTGGGGAAAGGCGTTCAAGGTCTCTGGTCCTCAGCCTGGTAGTCCAGTGGTACTCTTTTCCCCTTTTTTGGGTTCTGGGTTCCCTTATGAAATGACCAGCCTCAAAAAGGGCACCCCTATGATAATACGGTTACTGGGCTACCAAGTCAGAAGGCTACTTGGATGTCCCCAACTCCTCAAACCTCTAAAACCCCTCAAGCCCCTGAAGCCCTCGCTAAGAACTCCTAACCCCAAAACCCGAAAAGACCCGAAAACATCTTCAACTCTAAACCCCCAAAGCCCCTAAAACCCTATAGCCCTCCCTAAGCAGCCCTAAAACTCTACAAACAAACCCCCCCAAGACCCCTGAAGCCCTCCCGAAGAAGCCCTTAAACCCTGCAAACAAGCCCCCACCAAAACCCTGTAGCACTCCCGAAAAAGCCCGCGAAACCCATAAACAAACCCTCCAAAACCCCTATAGCCCTCCCTAAGCAGGCCGAAAACCCTACAAATGAACCCCCTTAAGACCCCTATCCCTAAACCCTAAACCCTAAACCCTAAACCCTAAACCCTAAACCCTAAACCCTAAACCCTAAACCCTAAACCCTAAGCCCTAAGCCGTAAGCCCTAAGCCCTAAGCCCTAAGTATAGCACTCCCGGAGGAGCCCTAAAACCCTACAAACATACCCCCCCAAAACCCCTGTAGCACTCCCTAAAGAAGCCCGAGAGCCCTAGAAAACC